TACAAAAGAGAGTATTTCTGAAATTACCTGTTGCAGTAGTTCTTTTTGCACAGCAAGAACCTTCTTGCTCTTTTCAATGGTGGCCTGAAGCGCGTCCTCCGGCTCGCCCGCGTCCTCACCTTCCACCGAGCTCTTTCGGATCGCTCTCAGCGGCTTAATCCTCCAAATTTTCCCTCTTGTGCACCAACTAATCCGTCCTCTGCATATTCGCGCAGCTCCTGCAGACCCATTTGCAGAAGCATTGATCTCACTAACTTCAATGGAGCTTCTTGGCCGATTCGTGAAGAATGGGAATCTGAGCCGGGGATTAGTACTGCTGTGAACGAGCACAGAGTTGTCAGGCTTGGTCCCTACGATAAAATGCAGAGACCCAATGGAAGCCATGAGACAATGTGTTCGATGAAATGCCTCAGCGAACTAGCAGGAGCTCATAGACCGGATACAGCACATTGAGATGATTCGGCTGAAAATAAAGCAAACCCAGTTGAGGAAATTCAATCAGAAACAAACCCAATTGAGGAAATGGTGGATAAACGACGCCGGAGTGAACAATGAGGAGGAATCGGAGGCGAAACTGAAACGGGAGAAAGATAAACCATGGACACAGAGAGAAGAAGCAAGAGCACAATCGTTGAGATGGGTCCCACAGAAGAAGGAGAAATGAGGCTCAAATTTGCTGATGAAAATTTGGGGAAGAAAGGAGCGTCGCCAAGAGTTTTGGATGATAGTGCGACCACAAACACACACTCCGTACTGAACTGTGATTCTTCTGCCAGAGACTCGGGTTCTGTGTGGGCCTGGGCTTCCTCGAGTTATGGTGACGATGTGAAGAAAACTTTTACAAACTTTTACACACCTACTTGATCTATAATTTTGTTTGGAGTCGCTTATTTAAAAGTACTTTTGCTTAGAAGCGCTTTCAACACTTTCAATGCAAATGCTTCTATTAAACGCACATTAGTTTTTTTAATAAAAATACAAATGTACTCTGAAAAAAACACTTAAAGTACTTTCCAAAAAAAGTATATGATGAGTGCTTCTTTCAGAAAGTGTGTTTAAACCGAGAAGCATTGTTAACATTTTCTACCAAATATGGTCAAAAATGTTTTTAGTGATCTGAAAGCTCTTTTAATTATTTCAATAGTATCTAGAAACAGACCTTATATTTTGTAGAAATGTGACAATTTATAGTTGTGACTCCATATTTGTTGTTGTTTTATATTTTCTTTGATATATTGATTTTTTTTTCTTTGTCAAATGATATACTGAATTAATAGCACAACAGAAAACTGTATGAAAAAATTGTGAAAATCGCCTCTCTCATTATACCGTTCAACAAATCAATATTCTTTTTAAAAATTATACCTATTTAACTGAAAGTATTTTTGGAAAAAAATATTTTTAAAATTAATTTTTAGTAAAAATGTAAATTAATTTTAGAAAATTACTTAAAGTGTTTCATGTAAGAAGCACATAAATCATGCTTTTTGAAATAAATAATTTAAATATTTTTGAAATTCAAAAATAATTCTCAAAAAATACTTTCAACGAAAAAACACTTCCCAAACAAAACTGAGAACTCAAACGATTTTCACGTTTTGCTTTCATTTTGTTTTATCTCTAATCTGCCGCCACATTTTTCGCTTTGACTATGACACCATGAAAAGTTGTTTTATTTCTAGTCTGCTGCCACATGTTTCGCATGGACTTTGACACCATGAAAAGTTGTAGTATCATTTTGGTTTTGGGAGATCTGAGGAATCAAGATCATCTAACAGATTTTGCAGTCTTGGGTGGACGGATGAGAAATTTATTTTAAATATTAAGGTTTTTTATTAGCTTATTTTATTAACTTACTTCATATAAATTAAGAATTTAAATCTCTCTCTGTTGAATAGTTGGATTACTTAGTCTATTAAACTCCAAACTGTAAGATACAAAGAAATTTTGAATTCAGATATAAGGTAGAGCTTTTCGAGAATTAAAGGGTTGATGATTGAAATTTGTCGAATAGTTTACAACATTAACATGTTAGGATAAAGTTTTCATTAAAGGAATTTGTTAGTTTTTTGAATCATGAAATGATAACAACTTTTCTATCTATTTTTTAAATTTAAAAAGCAACTTTCTTCTACTTACTCCAATCTTGAACAATCAAGTTGTTTTGTAATCAATTTCTTTGGAAAGGGATCCTCTCCGTATCCTTCCATCAAATTCATCAAATCCACCAATTGAGGCATTTGAAATTTGATTCAACGGCTAATAGGGCTCCCCTTTAAAAGTTATAATAACTTTAGTCGTTTGATCAAATTTCAAGGGTCCGAATTGATGGATTTAATGAAAGGGATCCGGAGATGATCATTTTCCAATTTCTTTATACCTTTTTGCTTTTTAAACTTGGAAATGCTTTAGTTAATCATTTTGTTTAGAAAGTTGAAATGAATTGGTCCAACTAGTAGACTTTCTAAGCATGCCATAAAGTAATGTATTGGCCTCTTAAGGCTATGAGATGAGAAGAAATGTTACTCTTATAATTTATTTGGTGTCATCATTTGTATCATTTTTTTTAATAAAGATAGGACCTACATATGTTGATGAGCTTATTTCTATTAAAGATGTGGTATAAATAATTATACAAATAAATGGTAAATATAGCAGTAAAACAAAAAATTACTTGAGTTCATACATACACAGAACATAAACGATTAAACCGAATCATTCTTGGATAAATTCAGTTTTGTTTAGTTGATCTGCCCATTTTATTCAAATCGAAATCATACTTATCATAATCTACTGTAAAATAATCGGTTACTAGTGAACCAAACTAAACCGTGACCAACCTTATGTACAATGGACGGGCTAGACCTTTATTTTCCAAGGGTCCTAGCTACTACCAACTGCCAAATCCCATTTACGCACTTTGCATAATTTTGCAACAAATGCAAACCAAAGAAGTAAAAATTCATACTTAAAGACAACAAAATCAAAACTTTCATTTCAAAGTTAGGCTTGTTTTTGACACTTGTACTCTTCGTGAAATCTCACTTTAGCCTCTTCACTCTATATTAACTTACTTTACCACCTGCACTCTTCTTCTGTGTTATACTTTACCCCTTACACTATATTGTCTCATTTTAACACTTGCACTTAATGTCTCACTTTACCCTATTCGCTCAATTAAGTTAAAAAGAGCTATTAATTGTACTAATGTGGCATGGACAATTTTGTCTTTTCAACTATGTTAGGAAGACCCATGAGTGCAGGAGGGTTTGATTTTTTCAGATTAAGAAAAATAAAGAAGAGGAGAGTGATAAGGGTAGAGATTTTCATGACAAAACCCTAAAACTCCTACAAAAGGATCTGAAAACATTGAATTGATTCGTGAATATTGAAATTCAACACTCTATTTTTATATTTCAACCTTCTATTCTTATATTTTTGTCTTAATCTAGAGAAATCAAATCCTAGCTTGAGTTTAACCCACCTCTTATTACCCATGAATTCCACTAGCATGTTACAGGCCACACAACAAACGCAGTTGAAAAGACTAAACTGTTCATGTCATGTCAACATAATTAACAACTCTTTTTAACTTAATTGACGGAATAGAGTAAAGTGAGACATTTAGGAATAGTGCAGGTGTTAAAGCTACACAATATAGAGTGTAGAAGATAAAGTGAGACAAAAAAAAATAAAAATTGCAGGGGTAAAGTGAGACAATACATAGAGGATAAAGTGAGATTTGATGAATATTACATGTATCATAGCTAAGACTAAGCCTTATTAAAATTAATACATATAGTTCATCCAGATGATTACATGATTGAAGTTACACCATTTATTGACTAATTAATCAAAAATTTATAAGCAGCCTTCACTCCTCAGAGTCTTATTGAGAAAGCAGTAGGATTATACATAATATTGCAGAGTAGAGGTCGGGGTCGGGGCAGTGCCTGTCTGATCGCAACACTCAAAGCAATAAGGCTTTGGTTCATACACACACAAGCAGCATACACATCTCCCGTCACATTCTACAACATATTATTCAACAAACAAAATTAAGTCGATTAACTGTCTATAGTACATAACTAATTAATAATTAAACTACTATTAGAGATTAATTAAACCTGTTAATTACATACTGGCGGCAACGGTGGCCTTGGCGGAGGAAGACAGCCTGGTGTCGTTGAGATAGACTGCATATGGACATGGGAGGCTAGAGAGTCGAGTGGTTGCTTGAGCTTTCATGGTCGTACTGACAGTTATAGACAGTACGATAGCCATGCAAAATACAATTTTATTGACGCTGGCCATTTTCTAAAAATATTAACAAATTAACTAGAACATAATTGATGGGTGGGTTCTATATCTAAAACTAATCCAGCTTAAATTGGATGAGAATTGAAACTACATATGTTATACACAAATTTTCAGAAGGTATATTAATGATTATTTCAAATATTGAATCTGGCAATTAGGCAAGATAATGTTACAGCATATGTTATATATATATACTGATTAGGCAAATTCTTGATTGCACATGTTATATATGATAATTATTTTGACTGTCTTTTGCAAATAGAAAAGAAGATTCAAGCAATTTTAGGAGAGAAGAAATCAAATCATGCACATGACTCAGGTCATTAGATAAATGTATGATTAGTGATCGATCTAACTGTCTCATGGTTTCAGATTTGGGTATTTTTTGTAGGCATGATTTTTTAGAAAGCCTAAAAAATAGACAGTTTAGATCGTTGAAATACATCACAAAGTAGGCTCTACAAAAACTTGAATAAAAATTGTGTAAAAATGTAACTTTGCAACTTAATATACTATTACTCAGACAAACTCATTGTCAAAGTGAAGCGTAATACAACATATCAATATTAACATATAAAAACAGAAACAACACAACATATTAATACAACTTACAGAAACACAAACATCATTAATTAATACAACAAATCAATTGTATCTTGAATATGCATGCTTCATTATATTCACGCAGCCATGCAGCCAATCCCGTAGCGAGTGCTCGGAAACACAAGAAACAAGCCACTGCACACGATCCCCACCATCAACGGGAAACTCTCCATAACTTCATCCATATCCTTCTCGTGCCCCGGAAACAAACAGTCCGTCACGCGCCGGTCCGAAAACGCGATCGCCACAAACACCATGACAGACATAATGGCGTGTACGAAGTCTGACAGCCCCAATTTGTACCTCTCCTCCTTCGGCACCTCCACCCCCAGGCCCGGTTTAAATACCGCTAGTCCTTTCGGCGTCACGAATCCGTAGTACAACTTCCCGTCAGGCCCACGGAAACTGTCCGTGAAGTGGAAGAAGAAGCATGAGAGGGTGCACATGCCAAGGAGCACGAGTGTCATCATAGTGGTGACGCCCGTGCACTCTCCGGTTCTGTAGATAGCGGGAAGCACCATTTCAAAGGTTAAGAGAGTACCGGTGGGGAGAAAGTTGGCCAGCAATGAGGTCTTAGACAGAGTTTTCTGGACCCCTTTCGCAACGGCACGGCGTTTGCGGCCGTGTAAGTGGTCCGGGTTCAGTCGGAGCAAAGGCAGAGGGTGAGATGAAGAACAAGGTGGCGGCGGCTTTGGTGGTGACTTGGCGGACTCGTCGTCGTGTGGGTCCCCGTAGACTGCATTGTTGTAGATTTTGATTCCAACTCCATCGCTTTTTTGGTCCATTTTTGCAGTTGTTCTTCTCTTTGGGCAAATTCGATCAATTGGTATTCTGGATATGGATTTCAATTTTGGAACGGTTTTTCAATTACATTTATATAGAGGCTTTGTCACTAGTTTAAATTCAAATTTAGGTAGTTATCAACGGTTATTGGTGAAATGATAACTGATTTATATAGTTAACTGTTCAAAATCCTTGTTTTTTTTTTCTCCTGAAAAATAATTCAAACAATATACAAAACATTTTTTTTTTCTTTTCTAGTTACTTATTAGATATATTCTCTTTGGAAGCAAATCATGCAACACACAAGGGTTATTATAGTCGAGGTATCTGAATTTGATTCCCCATTTCTATAGTTGTTTATAGTGAAAAAAATTGACATGTTACACATGTATGAACAATTAGATCATTTTAGTATAATCAGTATTTAAAATATCTGTATTGGTGAAAATATTGATATGTAAATTTGTAGAAATATCAATATCAATATACATTGCCTTCAATACAAAATGATGGAAATTTTGTAAAAAGGTGCTTTGCAAATCCAAATTGTTCTCGGATAGCACCTGCTCCAATAGAAATTTCTCTAATTTAAAATGAAACTTATAAGAAATATCATATAGCAATTTGTCGATATTTTAACTGATCATTGAAAAATATTGTTGAAATCTAGCAATTTTAGTCAAAATTTAAGAGTTTCTTCGATATGAGTGAAGTTTAGATTGCACCATCTCCTTCCATGTCTTTTTTTTTTGGATATTTTTACATAAATATCGATTATATTGTTGAAATTTCAAACATTGGTTATAACTTACAAAAAGAATTTTTGTACTTCTAAAACGCCATAAGAGTATCCTAAAGCACACTAATATAACATTTTCACGTGAACAAGTTAATACACATCTTTATTAATTTGGACCCACGATTATGCATGATTAATTTGGACCCACGATTATGCTGATGTTGATTACCAAATGTACCACTCCATTCCAAGTGTGCGGCTGAGAGATGAGGGTAAGACTTCAAAATTTCATGTCATCTCATAAATTTTCGAGGTCACAAATTTTTCACTGTGATTACGTGTTGATCTTGCACATCAACTTTGTACAGACTTCTCGACGTTTCATGAATCAAACAGAAAACTGGAAGAGACATGACAAATTGGAAGTGCTAGAAACCTCCAATGCCTTCCATATTAAACCACTCTTCCACTCTATACTTAGCTCAAACGATCGACGCACTCCAATCACAAAACAGTCCAGTCCAATCCAGTCCTGCGTAGCAAACAGACCCTAATCGAGCAATTTCACCTAAGAACATGTCACCTGCTCTCTCCCTCTCCGTCTCCCTCTCCCTCTCTCCACTCTGCAAATCCCAGGACAATTCAAAGGACACCCACCTCCCCAAAAACCCTAACAAACAGAACCCATGTCACAAAACTCCCTCAAACTTCAAATCTACCAGAAGGTCGTTGTTAAATTCCACTTCACTGGGACTGACCCTGTTAGGAGCTGCAGGACCCCTCTCTGTTTCTAACCCTGCAAAAGCGGAGCCAGAGCCAGAGAGCCCGGCTGCGTCGACTTCGAGCAGAATGTCATACTCCAGGTTCTTGGAATACTTGGACCAAGACGCTGTGAAGAAGGTGGACTTATTTGAGAACGGCACCGTCGCGATCGCCGAGATTTTTAATCCGGCGTTGGAAAAAGTCCAGAGGGTTAAGATTCAGTTGCCTGGACTGCCACCGGAACTGCTGAGGAAAATGAGAGAGAAGAACGTAGATTTTGCAGCTCATCCAATGGAGGTTAATTGGTTGCCAGCAGTGCTGGATTTGTTGGGAAATTTTGCTTTTCCTTTGATCCTGCTCGGGACATTGCTGTTGAGGAGTAGTTCTTCAAACGTGCCAGGAGGCCCCAACTTGCCTTTTGGACTTGGAAGGTATAAAATTTACCAACCATCTCGTATATGGCATTAGCTAGTTTTAATTTTCAGGAAAAACTTTAGCAATGCACCTTTCAAGTAATGAACTTCTTTCGATTTGCTCTCACAACTTTTAATTTGTTTTTATCATTTGAATGGACGAAATTAATAGTTTAGAAGACGACTTTGAATTTGTTTTTGTCATTTGAACGGACGAAATTAATAGTTTAGAAGGTAAATCGAAACAACGGACTAAGTTTAGGTTGCATTGCTAAATACTTGGCATGAATTTTGTACTTCATATTAAGTCAAGGTGGAAATTCTGTATGAATGACGTATGTTCTTTATTAAGGAATGCACAAAGTTCCCTATTGTATGACATTGTTGAAAAATGTATCGTCTCTGTGTTGATAGGTTTCGTTGACCATGATGATATGGACACATTATTGATAACACATCAATAATAAAGAATACACATCTTTACATTTTTTTTGTCTTTTTGTCGAACGATAGAATTGTTAGATTAGGAAGCCGACAGAGTTGGAACCCATGCTGTGGTGTAAGGGCAACACTTATCTGCATCACTATAAGTTAGGTTGTTTAATGTTCATGATTTGATTCAACTGAATACTTGACATGATTTACGTACTCTTATATTATATGGAGCAACAGGAGCACAGCCAAATTTCAGATGGAGCCCAATACAGGGGTGACATTTGATGATGTGGCCGGAGTCGATGAAGCAAAGCAAGATTTCCAAGAGATTGTTGAATTCCTGAAAACCCCAGAAAAGTTTTCTGCAGTTGGAGCAAGAATTCCCAAAGGGGTACTTCTTGTGGGGCCGCCGGGGACCGGAAAGACACTGCTGGCCAAGGCCATTGCAGGTGAAGCGGGGGTGCCTTTCTTCTCTCTGTCAGGGTCAGAGTTCATTGAGATGTTTGTGGGAGTAGGAGCTTCTAGGGTTAGAGATTTGTTCAACAAGGCGAAGGCGAATTCTCCGTGCCTGGTTTTCATTGACGAGATAGATGCTGTGGGGAGGCAGAGAGGCACAGGAATCGGCGGCGGAAATGATGAGAGGGAGCAAACCCTGAATCAGCTGCTCACTGAAATGGATGGGTTTAGTGGGAACAGTGGAGTGATTGTCATCGCCGCCACAAACCGCCCTGAAATTCTTGATTCTGCTTTGCTTAGGGCTGGCAGATTCGACAGGCAGGTAAGCTAGCTGTTACTTGTGTTCCAAGCTTTCCAACTTTCATAAGTTTTTGAGCTGTGACTGGTATTCGAAAACCGGGTTAATTTTTTCGTGTTTCTCGGGCAGGTTAGCGTTGGATTACCGGATATAAGGGGAAGAGAAGAGATACTAAAGGTTCACAGCAGCAATAAGAGGCTTGATAAGGATGTTTCTCTGAATGTTATTGCCATGAGAACTCCTGGATTCAGTGGTGCAGACCTTGCAAACCTCATGAATGAAGCTGCCATTCTTGCTGGTAGGAGAGGCAAAAATCAGATAACAATGAAGGAAATCGATGACTCGATTGATCGAATTGTGGCGGGGATGGAAGGCACAAAAATGACAGATGGGAAGAGCCAAGTTCTTGTGGCTTACCATGAAGTTGGCCACGCTATTTGTGCGTAAGTTTGCATTCATTCTTCATTTAGTTGTCGCAAATGTAAGTTAGGTCAGTAATACAACTTTTTTCAAGCCTTTTGAACTCAAATGTTATGTATTCTTTGTGAATTGTAGGACACTGACTCCAGGCCATGATCCGGTGCAGAAGGTCTCTTTGATTCCGCGAGGCCAAGCACGCGGTTTGACATGGTTCATACCAGGCGAAGATCCTACTCTTGTTTCTAAGCAACAACTATTTGCTAGAATAGTTGGAGGTCTAGGAGGTAGGGCAGCTGAGGAGGTGATTTTTGGGGAACCAGAAATAACAACTGGTGCAGCAGGAGACTTGCAACAAATCACACAGATAGCAAGACAGGTACATACATAATACTTTAATTAATTAACGAAAGTGCAGAATGAGAAAACGAGAGTGTGAAAATCTCTTCCTAATCTTAAATGTCAAGAACCATGTACCAAAAAGTACTAGAGAAAGTTACAAATTTGCCATTCTTTGCAGATGGTGACAACGTTTGGGATGTCGGAGATTGGACCCTGGGCGCTGACAGATCCGGCAACACAAAACAGCGATGTCGTGCTAAGGATGCTGGCAAGAAACAGCATGTCTGAGAAGCTGGCGGAGGACATTGATTTGTCAGTGAGACGGATAATTGAAAGTGCATATGAGATGGCTAAGAAGCATGTGCGGAACAACAGGGAGGCCATCGATAAGTTAGTAGATGTGCTTTTGGAAAAGGAGATTCTCACAGGAGATGAATTCAGAGCAATTCTGTCTGAATTCACAGATACTTCTGTGGCAAAGTTGGATAGGAAATCAGTAAGGGAGATGATTGAAGCCTAGGCATGTATCACTATACATGCAAAAACGTTTTACTGTCACATACTTGTAAATAATATAAATCACTTCAGTAACTCTTGGATACATTTGTAGACGTGGATAGAGTTACATTAAATATAACAGAGTGCTCTATCTATGCATTCGAATTTGAATTTCTCATGCTCCTAACAAATTTTTTATTTTAGCAAAGTACTTTCTAAAGAAGTATTTTCAAACGGACACGAGTATTAGTCCGAAATTAACAATTAAGCACCTACTAATCTTTTTCAACAAACGTGTGGTTAAGTCAGAGCTCGTTTGGATATACTTTTAAAATGACTGAAAACGCTTTTGGTGAGAATGTTTTTAAAACCATTCTTTAGTAAAGATGCAAGTAATTCCTTAAAAAAACACGTAAAGTACTTCCTGGAAGAAGCACATAACTGGTGCTTTTTTCAAAAAACACTTGTATTTTTGGAACCCAAAAACATTTTCTCTAAAAACATTTTCAGTCATTTTGAATGCACGTTCGAACGCGCCCTCATTCTGTTTTACTACTTTGTTATGTGCCGAGACTTCTCCCCAATTCCAATCCAATCCAATCCAATCCAATCCAATCCCCATATCCCAAGTGCATGGTTCGGCTTCCAAACCCAACCGCCAACAACTGTAATTCAAACTTTGGCTCCAAGAAGGAGCAATGTCTCCATCTCCTCAGCCGGTGCTCCACCTTCAAACACCTCTCTCAGATCCACGCCCAAATCCAAGTCTCCGGCTTTCAAAACGACCACTTTCTCCTCACCCAACTCATCCGCTTCTGCGCCTTGTCTCCCGCCAAAAACTTCGCCTACGCCCGAGCCCTCCTCGATCACTCTGAGTCTTCGCCGCCCTCTTCATGGAACTTCCTCATCCGTGGCTGCGCCTCCAGCGACTCGCCCCGAGAGGCCATCTGGGTCTTTCGGGCGATGCTCGCCCGCGGCGTTCGACCCAACCAGCTCACCTTCCCTTTCCTGATCAAGTCCTGCGCTTCGGCCGCCGCGCTGAAAGAAGGGAGGCAAGTGCATGTGGGAGTCGTGAAGTGTGGGTTGGACCGTGATGTTTATGTTCAGAACAATCTGGTTCATTTTTATGGGGAGTGTAAGAAGATTAAAGATGCGCGGAAGGTGTTCGATGAAATGTCTGAGAGAAGTGTTGTTTCCTGGAATGCAGTTATAACCGCTTGCGTTGAGAATTTTTGGTTGGATGAGGGAATTGAGTACTTTGTGAAGATGCGGGGTTGTGGGTTTGAGCCGGACGAGACTACAATGGTGGTCGTGTTGAATGCGTCCTCGGAGCTGGGGAACTTGAGCATTGGGAGATGGGTTCATTCCCAATTGATTGAAAGAGGGTTGGCTTTGAATTGCCAGTTGGGTACTGCACTCGTGGACATGTATGCAAAGTCTGGGAATTTGGGTTATGCTAGGATAGTTTTCAATAAGATGGAGGTGCGGAATGTGTGGACGTGGAGTGCCATGATTCTAGGGTTAGCACAGCATGGGTTTGCCAAGGAAGCCCTTGAAATTTTCCTGAAGATGCTGAGCTCATCAGTACACCCAAATTACGTCACCTTTCTTGGGGTTCTCTGTGCTTGTAGCCATGCTGGACTGGTAGAAGATGGCTACCGATACTTCAATGATATGGAACACGTACATGGGATTAAACCCATGATGGTACACTATGGTGCTATGGTGGATATCTTAGGTCGTGCTGGCCGTCTCAATGAGGCCTACAGCTTCTTGAGGAGCATGCCCCTGGACCCCGGTACCATTGTATGGAGGACATTGCTTAGTGCATGTACTACTCATAGTGCTGAGGACAATGAAGGGGTAGGAAACAAAGTAAGAGAGAAGCTGCTTGAATTAGAGCCGAAGAGGGGTGGGAATCTTGTGATGGTCGCAAACATGTATGCTGAAGTTGGGATGTGGGAGAAAGCTGCAAATTTAAGGAAGGTTATGAAAGAAAGACGGATGAAGAAGATGGCGGGGGAGAGTTGCATTGAGTTAGGCGGGTCTGTCCATAAGTTCTTTTCCGGCTATGATTCCCAAGCTGGTTACGAGACTATCTACCAGTTACTAGATGTATTGAGCTTGCACATGAAGTTAGTTAACATGTAATCAAAATCAATTGTCAAGTAACCTCTTTTATTCAAAATTCATTGTCAGTGAATTTACTCTGCAAGCCCGAATTGTGATTTCTAGGATTGAAGAAACTCCGTATTTCAGTCGTAATGGAATTCATTACATTCCGAAAAGGGTCCTCGTTGTTAGTATGTGATCGTTAATAAAATGAACTCCTTCGAGAAGTGTTTTCGATCCCAAAGAAAATGGAAGAAAAAGAAGTGTCCGTAGTTTCAATAACTAAAAACAGGAAGTTTACAAATCCTAGACCCCTCCGACTATGAGTCTGGGTTTTCCCATACTATGCAGATTGCACATACAGTAGCCCGAAAGAGAGAACGAATGAGAAAACTGCTTCCGAAAGAAATATATTGACCACTAAGAGAATCCTTTTACAAGTGCTCTATTATTTCTCCTAGAGATGTGTAAGTGCCAATTACAACAACTGCAGCACTCAGTACTAATATAAGGCCTATAATCAACATCTCACATCCGAGGCGTCGATAAATACCTGAAATTTTAAGGTAGCAAAAGCACGGCAATATAATCGATGCTGTTACACTCAGAAAAGCTCCGACAAGTGACATAAGATAAGCGAAAAATGGTATAGCCAAAGCTACTACAACGGTGCTGATCACCAAGGTGGTGCTGGCTAACATGCCGATGAGTCTTTTGTTGAAGTGACTCGGAAACATCTTCTTTGCAGCATTTACAACTGGTGTAACCATCAAAGCATATTTGGATATCGGATTGACCAGCGTGGTGTATATCGCAATTTTTGAGCTAATTTTGTGAGTTGGGAGATTTAATGTTATCTGTGATTGAACCGTCGATCCAAACATTAGGTACCCGAAAACTGCCATGGATGCATAACAGATGGTGCACAAGATGAAGCATAGGAGAAGAACCTGCAACAAAGAAACAGCGGATTGATAAAAATGCTGAAACAAAATAGCATGAATGTCACTTGGTAACAAGCTTTTACTTACATTGGAGAACTGACGTTTGTTTTTCATTGAAGTGTAGAGGGTAGGGAACACCGGATGTGCGCAGTAACAAAAGGCATACAAGCTAACAGCGGTAGGGATTCCATTCCACTTCAGTGGTAGTGCCCTCTTGATGAAATCCGATTCCTTCAAAAGCACCAGTCCACAAAATCGAACCGAGGATGATGGCAGATGCTAAAACTCCACTTGCAGACACATAAGAAAGAAGGCTCAGGTTATCTAACCAAACTGTTGGCAGAATAATCAGGGCAACAACAATTATGAAGCACTGTTCTCCGCCAATTCTTAATCCAGCCACGTCTAACTCCACGCCGGAAATAAGTTGTGTAAGTTATCTCCTTCCAAAATTAGGAACCCTGTTGCAACGAAGTAGAGTTCTACATTCATGACAATCGACAGCAGAATTCTTCCCTTCTTCCCGAATGCGCGCTCACCTATGTCCGGATAAGTTCTGATATCAGAATCCACATCCATGCATCTCTGGATTAACAAGCCCGAGTAGAAGGCTGAAGCCGCGATTAAGAAAAGGAAGATCAAGCTTAGCCATCCTCCTGATGCTAGTGCATAAGGAACTGACAGTATCCCTACTCCTGAAAACCCAAGAAAAAGCACAGTTTTCGGTATTAAAATCTCATACTTTCCTCCTGAGCTAGAAGTGAAGAACATTGTAAATGCAAATGTAACAATATGAAATCATACACAGATCCGAAGTCATGGTTCCACATGAACTAGATTATATAGAGCGCCGGGTAGTGATTTTCGCACTTAACTATTTTTCATATCAACTCCTCGTCGTTTTCCAGCGTTTAGGTCGAATAAATCAAAGGAGAATATAGTGACAGAAGAAGAGGAGCAGCTCAAACAGAAGAAACGAGAGTGTGAAAATCACTACCCGTCTCTCACATGTGGTTAAGCTACCATTAGGCTAACAATGTGAAAATAACATCATAATTTGTTCATTACTAAATTTTGTTGTGTGCAGAGTGAAGAGGCAAGAAATTCTAGCAAGAAACACCAAAAATGTTGAGAAGATGATAAGTTCGTTACTTCATTAAGCTTTCTTATAAAAAATTAATTTGAGAAGTACATAATTACCTGAGAGTGCATTGAGTCCATTAAAACAGGTTTTGAGGAAGGAGGTTGTGGCTGTAGTTTGGTGATAAAAGCTCGACTCTAGTTTTTCTTCTACCTTGCTTCCAGCTTGCTCATGTTGCTCCTCACCAAGGATTAGAGGCAAGCTCAAGGATGATGACTTTTCTGAAGAATCAGCATCCATTGAGAGAGAGAGAGAGAGAGAGAGAGAGAGAGAGGGGTGTATGTAAGGCTGGTGATGATGATATATGTTTGTAAATTTGGTAGTATTTAAAAATACTTAAAAGGTTTCAAACTGCACTGTTTTTGTTTTGTCCTATTTAAGATTCATTAGGTTTGGGAGCAGGAACGAATCCGACGACGAGTCCACTCAATGCTGCAAAACCACTATTTATATTTTTGAATTTTTGCACAATTGTAGGAGCCAGTTTTTTTTCCAGAAAAAAATGCAGTGTTCTATAAATGGAGAAATTTGTAGTTGTGACAGGAGCACAAGTGATACATCACGTGTTTTAATAGGAGTGATGAAAAATTTTATTTTTTAAGTTATTAACTTTTTAACACACATATTCTACTATTTGTATCATTCCGTGTACCGATCATACTAAAAAAACTCTCCTATAAATAATGACAGTACATTACAGGCAAAAAAACAAAATAATGACAGTGAGAGGGACTTATCTTTGAAAATTTGAGTAACTAAAATACGAACACAACAAAACAGCATCTCCCCATATTTTGTATATTATTCATAGAAAAAACACAAGCAAAGTTGTTGAGTAATTATTTACCACAAAAAAAGTTGTTGGAAAATTTCAAAATTGTTGAAATAGCCGAAATCCTGGGGACCATTGACGGTCTATGCTCTCGTATAAAATATGGTTATAACTTATAAGCAGTTATCGACTCCAAAAAGAAAAAGTAAAATAGGAAGACAGTTAATTCTTAAACAGGCATATTTGTTAATTTGCTCTTGAAATATTTAAATAGTCCGAGTAGTGATTTTCGCACTTCACTACTCTCCATATTTACTCCTCTTTATTTTTTAGTGTTTAGATTGAATAAATTAAAGAGAATTTAAAAATACAAATGAGGAGTACAAATAAAGAAAACGAGAATATAAAAATCACTATCTGTCTCCCAGATGAGGTTAATCTACCATTAGACTAACAATGTGAAAATAACATAAGCAAAGTTGTCGAGTAATTATTTACCACAAAATAAAGTTGTTGAGTAATTTTAAAATTGTTGAGTCGAAGGCAAAATCCTGGGACCATTAATAATGTATGCTCTTCATATAATATATGGTTATAAGAGTTATCGACTCCAAAAAGAAAACGATGAAAAGGAGGGCAGTTATATTCTTTAAATATGCAGCCTCGTGACTTTAGGGAATTAAAAAGCCTTAAAGTGGGATATTGAATCTCAGACATGATACATGTGATTTGGATTGACAGATATGATTGGTCTGCTGCTGCACTGCTTTTGATTAATAAATACAGCTAGGTCAGAAGTCTCATCAGATTTAAGAAGAAGAAATCAAAATAGGGTATATTTAATGAGAAGTATTATTGGTACTTCAAAATTTTTATTTTACCTTTCTTGTAAATGTATTTTTATTTTTAAATATAGAAAGTTTGAAGTGTAGAATGAGATTTTTTAACTGCTTTGAATTAGTAAATGAGAGAATTACACACTAAAGAAATCAAAGCATGGCTCATGCAAATTTCGTATCAGTTCACTCAGTTTGAGGATTTTCAAATCAAAGATTCCGAAGGGGTCAGGATACCCAATGCAAAGGAGATGTTATTTTAATTGGGAGGGTATTAAAAATTAGTCTAAAAACAAAGAAGAATGATTTCTACATTTTTGTTTTCTTCCTGCACACTTTATATTTATTTATGATTTTTTGTTTGAAAAAAATTAAGGAAAAATCAAATAACAGAATTAGGCATAAAAGGAAAATGGTTGTGTTCAAATCTTTACCCAAAAGAAAAGCCCTAACCAACCAAGGTTTTGAACAAAAAAATGAATTAGAGCCTTAGATCATCTCGATCAGATTATTTATTAATTTGAATTTGATTCTCACATTCTAACGGCACGAAAAAAGTACCTGACAAGGCATTTAGTGGATTAAAGAAAGGCATGCAAAATGAGGTACTCAATTGGTGGCCATATTTAAATTTAGAACCAGCCTCCCCTGGCACGTCATCGCCGTGTAATTTGTTTTGCTTTTCATGCAGGAGAAACCCATCACGGTTTCCTGCCTCCATGACATAGAGAGACACACAGAAATAAACAAAGAAAAGAATGTGACAGTTGTCTAATTTGATGCAGATGTTAAGATTACCTCGACAACAAGGAAATGAAGAACAAAAACCTGGACAGTGCACAGTGGATAAGAAACTTCATACAAATTAATGTATAAAGGGCTAAAGAGGAGAGTGTATTTTTAAGTTGATCTACTACAAGCATGGCTCTTGCCTCTGGTCAATCAGTGTCGCCCCACTTCCCCATTCTCAAGGAGGCAATGAACCACCACCCCCTCCGGGGTAAACAAGGATGGTGATTGTTTGCCCTCCACTTGCCATCCTCTCTTATTTGAGCGGTTATGGTTAAGCCACATCAATATTTTATATTCATATTACTTTTTGTTTTATTATCTTTATAAAAAAAATTAATATAAAATGTTAACGTGGTTTAATCGTGACCGTTTAAATAACAAGGGATGGAAAGGAGATGGTAAGTGGAGAGCAGACAATCCCCATCCTGCAAACAAAGGCTCAAGGCCCCCAATCAATCACTGTCGCACCACACCATCAAAACATTGATGTGATTAACCCATAGATTTTTTATTTTGATGATAATGATGAAAAGACAACTTAATCTTCTATCATAAAAAATCAAAAAATAATGGCTAATAATGTAATTTCATAGATCTAAATTTTATTATTTTTTATTGAAATCTCACCTACATGTAATATTAAAATACCTCCAACAGTAAAAAAAAAAAAAAAAAAAAAAAAAAAAACCAAAAACAAAAACCTCTCACTCCCCTTCCCTCCTCATTTTCTGAAAAAAAATGTGTTCATACATACAAAGTGTGTAAGTAAATGCTAGTATAATATTATTAATTTACGTAGAGGGAGTGAATTATATAATTGATATGTAAATAGTAGATTAATAGCATCATATGACAATGTCAGACACACTCAATTAAGTTTAAATTTAATAATATCACATAACATGCATGAGTCTTAATTAACATGATTTATTATAAACCAAAATTATTGTACAGTACTACCAAGAAAAAGTGAATTTTTTGTTATAATCTAAGGAAAAAAACTTGTAGGAGAGTGACACTAGTCATACTAGCATCCACTCAAAATAAGTCACTTGGTAAGCATGAAGTTCAATATTTGTCATAATTTTTATATTTAAAGTTTTCAGAATTTTCTCCTAATTAATATACACCGTGAAATTTGTCTAATGTCCTTTTTTTACCTCCATTCCACCTATTCTTTTTCGTGTCAGATTTTCTGCCCAGCCACGTATTGCCTTCTGTTCCCCTTCCGTTGTTTTGTTGTTTTTTCTTCGAAAATTGTGGAAAAATTAAGAACCCACATTCTCTAACTTGTCATATCTTGGAAACTAGAAAGCAACTAATTTTGTCCTTTTATTCAATATAGTAGTTGATTTCATCATATCAACTCGACTTGATTAACGCACGACTCTCTAACATCCAATAAAAATGATACAAATTAGAGATAATATAATGTATGGCTAAAGATGCATCTATGATTCTATTGGTTTCGGTAAATCGGCCTCACATCATCATACAATGTTATTAATTCACGAATTATAGTAGAAGTGAGTGATATAGTTGATATATAAATAGTGGATCAATAACATTATGATAATACCAGACAAGTTCAATTTAGTTTATATTTAATAATGTTACGCGACATGCATGAGTCTTAATTAATATGATTTATTATAAAATAATTATTATGGCAGTACTAAAATAGTGCCAGGAAAAAGTGAAACTTGTTATATCTAGGACCATATAATTTGTTATGCTGAAAGGATAAGGATAGGTAAATCCTATGATTCCTATCGTCTTGGTGTCGAATAGAAAATCTAGTTGATAGGGTTTGGATTTTCATTGAAAACTCATATGTGGGAGGCAGGGAGGGTTCTAGTTGCTATATGTTCTACAACTTTTAGCTTTTTTTTTTTTTATGTTTTTTGTTTTTTTGGTGTCTTTTTCAGACGCAACAAATTAAGAAATAGATAGAAGAATGGTTGTACACATGTTGATGGAACATACACAACATGTGATTTCCTCTGTCTGCTGTAATTGTAGGCCAAGCCCAAGGGAAAACTATATAGGATGGGCCACAAAAGGAGGTCTTAATATAATAGAGTTCCAACAAGTCCAGGTTGTTAGAATTCCCTTGTTGTCCCACATCAGCTAGAAGACTTGAGAATAAGCTCTTTAAATAGAATTACTCCATTCTAACTAACACCGATACCTTTTGTGATAAAACCCCACACCTGACGGATTGAGTAGGTGGTCAAGTAGAGATAGTATCGGTGTTGTTGGAGTGGGCCCATGGCCCATTTACTTGAAATTTAAGATGGTATTAGAGCCAAGGGACGGGCTCATACCACCACGTGAATGGTGGGTCCTCATTGGCCCCGCGTGAATGGGTGAGCCCTGGCTTGGCTCCACATAATTGCCGATATGTGGAACTTCACGTGTGACCCATAAAATGGGGTCTCATGTGCGGAGGAGCGTTAGATTCCTCTGTCCCACATCGGCTAGAAGGCTTGAGAACAAGCCCTTTAAATAGAATTACCCCACTCTAACTAACACCGAAGCCTTTTGTATTAAAACCCCATACCTGACGGATTAAGCAGGTGGCCAAGTGGGGACAGTATCGGTGTTGTTCGACTGGGCCCATGACCCGTCTACCTAAAATTTAAGACAGGTGAGTCATGAAGGAACTGATGTCTAAGAGGGGATTCGAGGACCTATGGAGAAATAAATTCTTGTGTTTCGATGATTATTTTTGTTAAAAATTAGACAAATTCAAAACAATTAAGACATTCATATGCAGTGATGAAAATGAACTAATATGGTTCTACAAAGAAACACTAAATGTTATACGACGGTTATATAGTTTCGGATTTGGTCAGCTCTTATGAATGATTGATTTTGTGCTTGTAAATTGCGTTATGCTTGTCCTATAATGCTTTTCTTGTTGTAGTGAATTGATCCGTCGAGTTAGATTTTCAGAGGTTGAGAGCAAAGGATGCCTACTAGTGGAGACTGTATCTAGTGACACTAACTAAGCCACACACAACTATCCTAACAAGTGTGATCAAAATCTTATAAAATAGCATATATAATCATACGTAATGACACAAAAGATTTCCTAGGCCGACCTCGCTTTGACCATGCTCTATCACTTGCTCACTGGAAACACCAAACAGACCAAATGATTTGGTCAGCTCTTATGAATGATTGAATTTGTGCTTGTAAATTGCGTTATGCTTGTACTATAATGCTTTTCTTGTTGTAGTGAATTGATCCGTCGAGTTAGATTTTCAGAGGTTGAGAGCAAAGGATGCCTGCTAGTGGTGACTGTATCTAGTGACACTAACTAAGCCACACACAACTATCCCAACAAGTGTGATCAAAATCTTATAAAATAGCATATATAATCATACCTAATGACACAAAAGATTTCCTAGGCCGACCTCGCTTTGACCATGCTCTATCACTTGCTCACTGGAAACACCAAACAGCAAAATTGCAGTTATTTGTACTTGTGGGCATAACAACGACGACATATCGATGACCATAACGATAACGTTTTAACAAAGTGTAACTTCACAATGCTGACTTATCAATAATAATGATAACTTATAAATCACATATCAACTGCATGTCCATTTTCTTTAAACACAGATAAATGCACCGTAAAAATCTCTCTATATATAATATAGTCCCTTTCTCAACCTTGTTTTATTCTCTTCTCTTCCATCAATCGAAGTCCCCCAACATAGGGCAATAATCAACTAAGCTCTTACTAGGCACCAAACCAGCCCGGAGGATGCCATAGTTATATATGTCAAGGGCTGCTACTTTGCACTACTTAGTGTTAAATTAGTTTCCTCCATCACTAGTTTATAAATATTTTTCAAGTATTCCAGGTTTTTGATTGTGAATCGAGAAATGGCTCCAATTGGTCAGTTAGCCTCACCGGAATACCACCCGGCGACCTCCCAAAATCCAAACATGTCTGATCATATTCCGAAGTCATCGATATTATTTGAACAACAATATTACCCACCTGGCTTTTTTCAAAAGGTATAACGTTGTATATATCTCGTATGCTTTTGTTTTGCTTTCGTTGCAAACATGCACTACCATCGTTTTCTTAAATTATCAACTTTGCAGATAGAATTGTGTGCTTCACCCAAGTTTAAACCCTCTTTCTCGCAGTTTAAATGTGTTAATCGTTAATGTCAATATGTACTAATAGAGAAAATATCCAACTTCATATATGTATATGCTTGCAGCTGGTGGCAGAGCTGATAGCAACGTATATGTTGGTGTTTGTCACGGCCGGCTCAGCTGCTCTTGTTGCCAGCGACGAACACAGAGTCTCAAAGCTTGGAGCTTCGATTGCAGGAGGGCTTATCATAACCGTGATGATCTATGCGGTCGGCCACATCTCCAGTGTGCACATGAACCCGGCCGTCACTCTTGCTTTCGCCGCCGTTAGGCATTTTCCATGGAAACAAGTACAATCACTGCCAACTTTCTGAGGTGACTTACGGACAATATAATGCCATGCCCATGAAACTCACATGGTAGATGCTTGTGTTGGGTCCAGGCTAAGGCCCATTTGGGCCCATAACCCATAACGTTATCTATGCACCCACACACTAGACCACAAACTCAACATTTTTTTTTTAAATATCAAAACCCAACAAAATTGTCACTTAGTAATCTAGTGATATTCATCTTCACTTCACTTGTAAGTAAGAGATTTTAGGTTTGATTCTTGCCAAATGCGAGTCTGAACTACATTATTGTTAGTCTATTGTGAGGCTAAGCCCACTCCCTCTCCCTTAGTGTATATAATATCGTTTGTTAAAAAAAAAAAAAACTCAACAAACTTAAAACCATAAGGGAATATCATTTAAAAAAAACAGAGCTCCATTTTCTTGGATCCCACGGTTTAAGAACATTTTAGTCACCCACAGTTATGTTTTAATTCAACAACGTAAGAGAACGTAAAAAAACAAAAATTAAATAGTCATATTGTCGAATTGAGATCAAACGATGAATAATCACAATTTCCCTAAACCATGGGGTCTAAAAGAATGAGATTGTTGGAAATTCTCATAAATTGAAGTGAACTGAATCCTCTATATCATAGTCATCCATATATGTTTGTTAGAGAATTGCATTTCAAGTATTGTTCTTATGATTTATGATATTAGGGATAACAAACTGTAATATTTAATTTATTAAGATTATATTTGGGTAAAAGATTTTTCAAGTTTCAAAGGAATTAGACCAAGTGAGTGAAAAAATACATTATAAATCTTTTAAATAGCATAGATTAAAAATGCATTACATGACCATTACAAAGGTATATAAGAGGAATTTGCATATGACACCTTCTAACAAGGGATTTACAAATTCCTGTCACACGTATTTGTAATTCACATGTGATGCACATTTCTAATCCCTCCTATTTCATTTTGTGATCCATTTCTCCCTAACAAGGTCTCAATCTCTTTATACTTGTAAGTTCCTTATCCAAAGCTTTTGTAAGGAGCTTATAACTCAAGTAATAAAGAATGTTTATCTTTTTACCTGAAATTATAAGTTCAGTCATCCCATCCTATGATTAAAAAAATAAAAAAATGTTTACACATTTTGGTTAGTTCAGGTTATTAGGCGTGTGCCCGCCCCCTTACAAGTTCAAATTCTTTTCTCCAAATATTTGAATGGTATAAAATATTGTCTCGTGAAATCACTAAGACAGTAATCTCTATACTTATATACGTGAGAGATTATAAATTTGACTTACTTTTATAGTGAGTTCAATACCTAGGTATTATGTAACTCAATCTCTCATGAAAACTTTATTGTATTTGTACTAAAAAAAAAAAATCATAATACATGTCGTCTTGTGAAAAATTCTTAAAAGACTTTTTGGGTACATGGAGTAATTTTGGGCTACCAAATCTTTGTTGTGATTTAGGAATGTAAGAAGTCTTTATGGGAAGGGATTCTCATTTTTTTTTTAAATGGGGATTAGTTGTAGGGTTCACACCACATCGAATTTCAATGAACTTAACAGTTTATATTCCAAGTTATACCTCACAGGTCATCCTTGCAAAATATTAATCAAATCAGAAATAATTGAGACATCTAATTGGATTCAAAGAAATTAACGAACACTTTGTTCTATAAAAAACAATGATATTTTATTGTGATAATTAAGTAGTCAAATAGTTTCGGATTGAATTAAATTTTTGTAAGGATGATCTAGGAATCAAGACCTACAAAATAGACGGTTAGATATTTGAGTTCAATGTAAAGTGGGTTCCACAACTAATCCCCATGTCTTTAAAAAATGAGAATTCCTTTGCACAAAAGACTTGTAGGAATGTATAATATATACATCTATGGTCCATTTTTCAGCAAGTTGGTGGAGTGGTTTAGGAATGGGATTTGGATCCTATCCTGAGCCCAAGGAGAGGATCCTCCTGACCAAGACACGTGGACCGTTGGATAAAAACTTGTAGGAATGTATACCATATACATCTATGGTCCACTTTTCAGCAAGTTGGTGGAGTGGTTTAGGAATGGGATTTGGATCCTCTCCTGAGTCCAAGGAGAGCATCCTCCTGACCAAGACACGTGGGGCGTTGGATTTTTATCCAACAGCTATAATTATTATAACTTAAAAGGGATCCCTTTATTTGTAGCCGTTAAATAAAAATAAAATGGTCCATATATTTTGGTCAGAAGAATCCTCTTCTTGGGCTCAGGAGAGGATCCAAATCCTTAGGAATGTATACCATACTTTTGTACCACAAACATTCATGACCTTTCTTTTCAGGTCCCAATTTATGCAGTAGCTCAGCTACCAGGATCAATATCTGCCTCGTTCACCCTGTCTGTACTATTGCACCCGATTAAACAACTTGGCACCACTTCAGCTTCTGGATCAGAGATCCAAGCTTTGATCGCAGAGATAATCATGACATTTTCCATGGTGTTCATAGCCTCCGCTGTCGCAACTGATACCAATGCTGTACTGTTTTCACATATATAATTCTTCCCCTTTATTTTGACATGAAATTCCAACTCTTTATTTGACATTTCACTGAGGACTGTTCACAACAGGCAGGAGAGCTAGCAGGTATCGCGGTTGGCTCCGCGGTTTGCATAACTTCAATCTTTGCCGGGTAAGTAAAAGATCATGGAGATACGCACAAACATAACTAGTTACAAACATTTAATAAAAAATACACACTAAACAAACATTAACCGTGCATATATTTGAGCAGGTGAAACAGCTAACGTGGTGTTTGGTGAATACGCAGACCAATATCAGGTGGATATCAAGGAACCCAGCAAGGACAACAGGGCCAGCAATTACTAGTGCATACTACAAAGGAATATGGGTCTACGTCGTTGGACCAGTGATAGGAGCCCTACTTGGTTCATGGTCCTACAGCTTCATTCGGGTCAGCGATAACCCGATCCAGGCAGTATCACCACCTTCATTCGCATCCAAGCTTCGTCGAATCAAGAGCGACAGCAATGGACAACCTACCTTCAAAGGCCCTCTGGATTCAGCTTGAAATTTCTGTATACAGATCGATATGATCTTCCAAAAGTCTGCAAAACACGTTAAGCAACTTGTACGCACACCAGAAAATTCCTTGGATTGATGATAGTGCTCTTGGTGCAATTATCTGTTTTGTATATATATCCCAATCAATCTACCCCCGACTCAAAAATGTTGTTCCTTAGGTTGCAAGCAACATACAATGTTATATGAAACAACAGCTCAAAGTGAATTTGAAGTCAGTGGTTCCAGTTATAATCCATCACACCAATCAACCAACCTTATGCTTACTAGCCGCGCATCTTTCGTTCGGTCCTTCATCGTAATGCCCCACAATAGAAACATTCTTGAAGTCGACAATGACATCAAGCATAAAATGATGTTGGTCAAACGAATAAAAAAGATACGTTAATTTACTGATATGATAAAACTAGGAATTTAGCTCTAGTATTCATCGAAAGGTAACTAGGGCAGCTTCTATAAAGAAAAGATTCGAGAAAACCCTACTGAACAAAGGAAATAAAACATAAACTGTATCAGCATGGAGGTTCATCCAAAGAAACATTTAACACAAAATCAAAAGCATGACTGAAACACCATTCGCTGCCACCGTACATGTGGCACAAAGAATACCTGTTCAACAAGCTCACTTGTACACAACCTGCAGTGTATTAATGGGAGGTGCAAAATGGAAATATATAAAATCCATCACAAATTGGAGAAGAGGCAAAGTGAGAGAGAGAGAGATCAGTGGACAAACTTGATACATTTCCTCTAACTTCAAGGTGATTGTATTCAATCTTGCTATGAATTCATCTAGCCTACGATCACAATCTCAGATGAATTAAAATTGCAACTATGGCATGCCTCATCTTTCTCCATTCATCATACTGTCCCTTTAGTGGTCCAGCCCTTTTATTAGTGGATAGAAGGTGAGAATCAAAATTAATACATAAAAATCTGAAAGGAACTATATATTCTATGATTTTTTTATAATTGGATGAGGGATTTGCAAGTAAAATAAATAAAATTAGAATGCATATATTAGTGATAAAAAAAACAATAAACATTAAATACAAAAGATAAAAATACACTACATTAGAATTTTAAGCTCTCCAAATGTTAATTCAATTCTACACTCCAACAAATTTGGCATAAACTGCAATATCTAGTTGAACATTACAAAATTAGGCGTAATACAACTAGGTTTAGTTGATTGATCATGTCTTGAAAGTACAATTCATTTACATTTGTCCATGTATAGCACATCATAATTACAAAATCGAGTTGAAAGTACATTTTTGTCGCAACGTTATGCCGAATAAACTATCATATCGTATTACAGTTTTGTCGTATTAACTTACAATTGTCATTGTAACATATCATAACTAACGAATCTAGGTTATCCGGAAAAAAGAACACTAACGAACCTAAAAGTGAAACTTTGTCGGAATTTGAGTTGTGTCAGAAAAAATTATCATGTTGAATTACAATTTTGTCACTGCAAATGGCGACAATTATTTTCATTAGAATAAAATTACTGAGTTCTCTCTAATCATTATGTATATGCTTAATTTTTTCTTAAATATAACGATATATTTACACTAAAAGGACGAAGAATACATATTTATTAATTAAGGACAATACTCACGCTTTATTAGGGGAACCCTTTGGTCACCCATATGTGAATATGAATGTTAACCATGGTCCATACATAATTAATTGTTTATTCTTTTTAACCATGAAACGTATATTTTGTTTGCAAAAAAGCAATCAAATTTGGGGTTATTTAGTAATCCTTATGCATATAATAACAAATCAATGGTTCTACTAACATTTTCATGAATCATCAATTTGTTTCATATATTTATATATAAATGATTAAATGATCATCGCTTTGATAATTTTTTTGTAGAATCAATCTTTAAAATGTGATTAAAATATGAATGATGTTCTGATTATAAAGTTTGTATGATTAAAACACATTAATCACAACTAAGTTGATAAGAAGGTGTGTATAAGAAGGTGCACAGAAGACACAAGTATTGTACTGTTTTAATCATGAATTTCAACACGTGTTAATTTCATGGTTAATTATACATGTGAACTTCTCTTTTGGATTCATGAACGTAAATCCATAAAATCTAAGAAGAAGGCTTTCTGATAAAAAGAAGGGCATGGTAGTAAATGAATAAGAAAAATCCAACCTTGCGTAACCGTCGCAGATAAAAACAAGAGGAGAAAACACTAGAAGAAATTGAATGGAAAAGCAAATTGCAACACAAAAGCATGGTTATGTGGCACAAACACTGGATTACGCGTCCATCTCCAGCCATGCCTGGCGCCAAATGGATTTCACGAACATTGTTTCCTTCCGAGCCTAGTCCACCCACTGCGTTATAAATGTGAGCTATTCTAAGCCCTCGATGCGCAGCGAAAAACACGCACTGCTCTGTGAGAGAGAGAGTCTCTGAAAGGAGAGAAGCTTAGAGAAGATCTCCAATCGGTGGTGCATTTTGTTCTCTCATTTTTTTAATTTCATTCCTTCAGTTCATTCCTCTTGAGCCTTCTGTCTAATTTGCTGTATATACAAATGTATTCTGATTCGAGTTATTTTTATGCGTATACATATAGCTTTTTTTGGTCGGTTCGGTCATGTACATATAATAGATGTATCATATTTTTCTAGTTTTTAAAGAGACCATCTTTCCCAAATTTTCTTCGTTTTTAGAGGGTTTACCTCGGTTTAATAGTTTCCCAATGAAAACATTTAATTATTTTTCCACATATTCGGGTAAACTAAAATGCCTTACACTTAATTGGTTAATGTGATTATATATTCTATTTTTTCCCAGAATAAATTTATATATAGCATTTTTTTTTTATTGTTTCAGATCTGATGACATCTTATTATGCATGCATGCCTGATCTGTATATGTTTTGTGGAAGCAGGTAACGTACATAACCTTCGATGGAAACCGCAAGCAAGATGGTTGAGAAAGCGGCGGCCTTCGCCTCAGGGAAAAGTAGTACTGAAGCAAAGGAGAAAGTAGAGGCGCTGAACAAAGACATAGAAGCAGGTCAGGGATCCTCGAATGTGAACAAAGACATAGAAGCAGGTCAGGGATCCTCGAATGTGAACTCGGAAGAAGGGCAGGGATCTGGTATTGGAATACAAAATGAATGCAGAATTTGCCAGGAGGAGGATTACCTTCACAAACTCGAAGCTCCTTGCCACTGCAACGGCACTCTTAAGGTACACCATATCATGTATGCGTTATTAATTAATTACTTGAATATGAACATGCATGTAACGCTTTTTATCCTTAAGAAGACTTCTCAGCAATGTCAGCTAGTCAACTTGTTTTGGTATGTTTGTAGGACCCATTTATTACATGGTGTCGATTGGTATGTTTGTAGGACCCATTTATTACATGGTGTCATCAACGATGGCAGTTTCATGTGTCCAAATATGATGTTTATTGTCACTTAATTAGTACTATGGTCTTGTGATATTTATCTTCATTTATAAGTGAGATATTTTAAGTTCAATTCTCGATAAAGACAATTTTGAACCACATTATTGCTAACCCATTGTAAGGCTAAGCCAACCCCCCTCCCTCTTAGACCAACTCTAATGATGGGCTAAAAGCCAAATGTCCCCCCAAACCCACTCCAACCTAAGGGGAAAATTTGGGCTAAATGCTAAACCAAGGCCAAATTCTCCCCAAAATTTAGTCCAGAAATCGAAGTAGACTTCATCCAATATTTATTGGAATTTAAATTTTTTTAGATTAAAATGTTCATAAAATTAATTTACGATAGTCTACATATTTATTTTATTTTTTTAATTTAATTTAACAAAAAAAAAAGCCTAAGTTCATTCTTTAATAATCCCCGGCTAAAATTTTAGGCTAGAACAATTGGAGTAAAAAAGCTGTTTCTGGACTAAAAGCTAAATTTTTCGGGCTAAAATATTTGGCTTTTAACCCAACCATTGGAGATGGTCTTAGTGTAAATAATTTATTTGTTAAAATATACATATATATATATGATGATTATTGCTTTTTTTATCAGTTGAAAGTTGAAAGTAGTCAAGGAACCCCAACCAAATAGAAATAACTATTTTTTTTTCTTTCAAAAATTTGTCCTCGTCAAAAATTATTTTTCTATTTGGCATCCCATGTAATGTAAGCATATTAAGGAACACTTAAATAATAATTCAATTATCAACAACCACGTCATATAATTTTTATAAAATATGATTTAAATCAACAAAAATGATACTCTTACCACCTATTTATATCATCATTTGTATCTAATAGAGATGAAGCCCATATGCATGGACATACTCTACCTCTATTAGAGCAAAGATACAAATGACAGTACAAATAAGTGGTAAATGTAGCAGTCACTCTTAAATAAATGATTTGCTTAGCATTACTCTAATTAATATGGCTGGCTTTCTTTTCGGCTGTATAGTTTGCTCACAGGGATTGTGTTCAAAAATGGATTAACGAGAGGCTAAGTATGACTTGTGAAATTTGCAACCAGGTATAGGGTTTATTTCTGCTTCTTAATATAGCAGAAATAAATATATAGCATGCTTCTTAATTTATTTCTGCTTCTTCTTTTTTTTCAATATAAATATATATAGGTTTAGGGTTTATAACTGGAAAATGAACTTTTCTGTTTCTCTTGTGCCACTGAATACACAGCCCTACGAGGCTGGATATACGATGGTGATACCCCCTCCACAGCCCAGTCCTCAGACCGAAAATGTCACTATTCCAATCAGGCAAGTCCAATTTCCCGAAGCTATAAAACATGCAGTAGTACCATAGTTGTAATTAGCTAATAATTATAACCATATAAAATTAACGTTGATTGTGAAACTAATATGATATGTGGGTATGGATGCATGTGTCGCAGAGATGGAACTTATTTCATGGTGAATACTCAGGCTCGGCTGCAAGCTGCACAAAGGACTGTGCAGACAGAGGCAGCGGCAGAGTTCCTCCGCCGCCAGCATGCTATGCAGGCTCACGGTGGTAGAGCTTTCGATGCAAGTGCACTATGTCGCATTGCAGCTGTTATTGTAAGGCCAAGAAGCTAATTAAATATCTTTATTAAGTCATAATAATTTCAGTTATACATTTATCAAGTTTTCATTTATTTTTGTGCAATATTGCCTTGCAGTGCCTCACATTTCTTGTAATGAAAGATATCTACTACTTCTATGAAAGTGGACAGGATAGCCATTTGCTTACTATCTTTTGGGTAACTAGGATATTAATCAACACTAAATCTATATATTTTCTTTTTAGAAAATGGTTAATTCTTTTTTGTTAAGGTTAAGACTAACTCAGCACCATGGTGATTGATACACACTGACACAGGTTTTGTTGGGCCTTCTCATACCATCCTATCTCATAGCTTGGTGCGCAAGTGCATGTGTAAGCAAGCACTTCCACGATTAATTCTTATTACACTGACCCTCTTCCATGATTAATTATCTAATTACATATTTCTCATTAATTACTAGTGTTGTGCACCAAACCAAAGTGAAGGCGATTTAGCAGTGGTGGAGGTCACAGTGCCGGAGGTCCCAGTTGCGGCGGTGCCGCAGTATAACTGGACTGCTCATCGATATTGATGCAAAGACTCTTCTTCAGAGTTGATGGGGAATAATTATGGTTGTATAAGCCAATAAACTCTCTTCTCCTATATGAAAATTATGTATTGCAGATGTTCCTCTTTTTATGTGAATTTGTAATTTTATTTTTCCGTACTCCTTTTTATGTTTTATTTTACTACAAGAGCAAACTGGTTATTAGAAATACAACAAAACCTTATTCTATTAAGTGACGTCGACTGTTTGAGCTAAGGTCCGTTTTCTAAAGGTAGAGGCCCAAACATTCTTTAGAGCTTGTTTGAGCTAAGGCCTTCGAGCATTGTGGCCCATCTTAATTGTTAAATGTAGTCATGCATTGATTGTTCTCTGCTTTCCCAAATCTCACAAGGTAGTGCAAATATAAATTTAAAAAATTATTCCATTCCATTTATAAAACCAGATGTTGCATTGTAACAATACATCAGGCAGGCTCTGTCTCTCTCTAACTTAAACAAAATTCTCAGTGACTGGATTTGGCCAAGAGAATTTCAAAGTCTTTCTCAAACAAACAAAACAAACCCAGTACAACAGAGAATTCATACATTTCATGAATATATGATATTATATATAGATAATTAGTAATACTAAGATGATTATGATAAATAGGATAATTAAGGGATTAATAATCAAGGGCACTTGGGTCCTCCTTGCTGGGTCTTCCAGTTGTTGTAGCAAGGGCACACAGCCTTGTTCCCGTAAAACCCAGGGGGTACACACAGGCACTTCTTGCAGCATTTCTGACAGAAGAACATGCAGGGCTTGTGGTACTGCGTCTGGCTGCACCTCCTCGTGCATTGTGACGGGCATTCTGGTCATTTTATCAGACACACAGAGCCACACAAAAATCAAAAAACCGAAACAGTAAGAGTCACTGCGTTTTCAACTCAACCAGATACAGATTACAATATTGTTGAACTTGGAAAATGAACGAAGACCATGGTCAAGACTTGACTGGGAAGAGAAATTAAAGCTTTTTTTTTTTTTTTTTCCTTTTGGTTAAGGAAAAATAATTTCTTTAGTATTTAGAAGAAAATTTAAATTAAGTAAACATCTAAGTCAATTGAGTAAGACAGTGTGTCCACGATTGCATCGAAATTCATACTCCTTTTTTGTGAATTAAAATAGTTGAAACATTGCTATGTAATATGTTAAAAGAGAAGAGAAAAGAAAATTGGGTTGTGAGATTAACTACTTACGGCTGCTCTTGAGACTCCCAGGTCCATATGCATTCTGAAAGAAAAAAAAAAAAAAAAGTACCAACATTTAAGCAAAATGAAAACAGTCCAATCATAATTCATAAAACAAGGTAAAGATTCAAGCTTATTTATAGAAAGATTCACATTATTTGCTGGGTAAAAATAGTGGGTCTGTGTGTGTTAGGGGTATAGTGCGAGAGCTTACATTGCCCTTGTGCTGACCTCCATGCCCATGATCTGCCATAACCTGCAACAAAATTGATGAACAAAACATGTTATTTTGTGAATGTAGGTGGCATTCCTGTCATTGGGAAAAAGTTCAAAGGGAAGGGGGGGGGGGTTGAAAAGAGAAGTTTGAGTTCATACCATGGTTTGAAGCATGGAGATGGCAAGGAGAGCCAAGAACAAGGCAGCAAAGAACTTAGCCATGGCCATTGTTACGGACAAGTCCCTCCTAAATGGCGAAACTAACCCCAGGGACAAGAGGAGGGAGATGTGAACAGGAAGAGAAGAAAGGGGGAGTTATTTAGATTCAAGTGTGGTGGGGGGTATAAGTAGCAGAAAATCAATGAGCATGCAATTGTTGGGTAAAAAACACTCACACAGACTACTAGGTCTGCTAGCTTGGCATCAACTGCCACGCGTACAGGCACATTGATTGAGAGGCTGTGATGAAGCAAAGGTTAGGTATGGCTTAACCCACTATTAAAAGAAGTAGAATTTTCTTTTCTCTTTTTTTTCCATCCGCTTCGCTTCCTCTTCCTTTCCTTCTTATTTGAATGATCATAGTTAAACCATATTAACATCTTATATTAATTTTTGGGAATTGTTATTAGCATTCCAAAAATCTCATTCTACACTCCTTACAAGTGTATTTTTCTTTCTAATTATAGAAAGTTTAGAATGCCAAATAAGATTTTTGGAATGCTAATAAAAATTTCCTAATTTTTTATAAGAACAGAAGAACAAAATAAATGAATACGAAAGAAGAAGATGAAAGGAGATTAAAAAATCGGAGAGAGAATCTAGTTCTTATTAAAAAAAGGAAAGATGTCTTCTTTGAGTCATCATTTCTTGAAAATATCCTTCTTGAGTTGGTAAAAAATATCATCACATGGGCAACAGGATATGTGGATAGAATGTTTATTGTTTCTTTATATATATAGATACCTACACTTATTATTTCAGAGAATATTTCTTATGTGTAATACCGTGTATTTCTCTCATAGGAGAAATAAACACAAAAAATATAGACAAGGAGTGTTTGATAATTATTTTTTTAACTATAAATAATTACTTTCACTTTTTAGGTTTCAGTAAAAATTAAATTTAAAACAAAAAATTGGAATATTTATCAAACCACCCTAAATCTTTCCCCTTTTATTGCTCCGAGCTTTTGCACATATGAGAATATATCTCTTGTTGCACCTGATTCATTGTCCTATCTTATGCAGGAATGCAATTTAATATAGGGAACTTTAACAAATAGCTTCTGGTACTGTTTATTTTAACGAAAAACTATATTTTTACACTAAAAAATCAATCATTTTACTATTCATTTTACTTTTTATTGTGTCTTTATTGTTAAAACTCAAAGTTTTTAAATCATTTTTATTAGTTTTCTTTTTAATGTATTTGGTACAAAAACGGTGAGCCTTAAAGGCAAGGGGAAAAAGTTACTCTGTAGGTGAACTAGTTGGGTAACTTGGCAGGTCATAATAAATCAAAGTGTAGCTCATGCTCAGCCTTTAAAAAGGAGGGCAAAGAAGCCCACTAGTTCAACGTTTGAGAGGTTTATGTGGGAGTTTGTCATTTTCGCACTCTTCTCTCTTTTTTCTTTTTTTTTAACCGACGATAGCATTGGTGAGTGGAATTGTCATTTGCGCACTCTTTTCTTTTCTTTTTTTTTTTTTTTTTTTTAACCGACGATAGCATTGGTGAGTGGAATTGTTAGCTGTTAAAAAATAGAAAAATCAATAAAGATCGAACTATCATCAACATGTATAAACATTATTACGTTTTGTCATTACAGTATAACGTCATATGCTACTTCTTGTTTTTTCATTATTAGCAATTTAGCATTCTTGTTGTTAACTTTATTGAATAAATCAAAAGCAAATGGATAAATAAAAACAAAATACAGAGCGTAAGACAAAAAATTAAAAATGTTAAAATCATTACTCTTCCTCATTTGCTCAAATTATACATATACTAAAATTCAAACTCAATGTTCTTGTTCATTAACGGTGAACTGACCAAAGTGTCCTCCAATTGCTCTTGGTCGTGTGTTTTTCCCCATTTTTGTACAGCAACAAGACAAATTTGCCCTTGCTACCCACGTGTCCACATCACTGAGGGTTCTACTTCGGCTTCTTCTCCACCTTTCCTTCCGTATTCACTTTTCACTCTCACAAAACTCTGCTTTTGTTGCTCTCTTTCGCTCTCAAATCTCGACTTCTCTCTGTGATTCTACTAGTCTCTCCTCCGCAAAGCCGGCAAGAAATTCTTTAAAATCATAGAGCTCCCTATCACCACCGCAACAACAGGTCCTTTAGATTCTCCCCCATTTCTTCACCCTAAATTTTTTCATTATATACGATATTCAAGTTAAAATAAATCATACAATATGTCAACAGTAACTTATTATCAAATGCATGGTTGAACTCCAGTGATAATGTGCCTAATCTTTTTTTCATTGAACAGGTAATGGACGGTGCATTGAAGAAGGGAGGGTAGAGGTAGTTAAGCGCATTGGGAGTGGGGGGTGTCCCCGCAATATCATAGTTCACAGACAAGAAAATGGAAATTTTGGTTATTTAGCATTTATTGACACGAATGAAACGAGTTTATCGACACGTATAATGTTGGGTGTAAATTTCTTTAGGGAAGAGATTTCCTTCGAATCTCTCTCACCAAATCCTAAGGATTCGAAGATTCGGACTTTTGAAATTTGATCCAATGACTATAGTTATTATAATTTTTAGAGAAGTCTTCTGTTTGTAACCGTTGAATCAAATTTTAAGGGTTCGGATCTTCAAATCTCTAAAATTTGATAGAAGAGATGGGAGGGGATCTCTTCCCATTTCTCTACATAACAATATATTGTTTTTTTTTTTTTTGAAAACAGAACAATATATTGTTTAGAAAGAAAAAAAAAAAAAAAAACGTCACCGCAGTGCTAACTCTGTTCAATATGGACAATAATTCTCTGTCTTCCTCTTTCCATCTCCTTCTATTCCCTACTTTCATATTCTTTATTTTATCTTTTTTTTTTATAAAAAAATTAATATAAGATATTTACATAATTTAATCGTTCAAATAATAAAGAGAATAAAAAGAGAAAAAAAAAAAAAAAAAAAATCCTACACCCCTTTCAATGTATCTGCAGCTACATGTGCTTCAACTGACGAGAGCACATGACCCAAAGCCGAAGACCTGCTGCATGCGGATGCGTTTGTGGGTTTGACAAAACTGCGTGTTCTGCGCTTCCCATCCCTTTCAGTTGTCTCGTCCAGATCTCATCTCTCAGGTTCTCTGTGCCAGTCAAATGGTTGAAATGGTTAACTGCTCTCCTCCCTTCCAAGGCTATAGATTCAACAGATTCACCGACATTTTGTTTCCAATAGTAAGTTCTACCGCACGGTTTCTCACACATTTTTATAGGCAAATGTCAAAATGGTTTATGTGTTCTATTCTATCGGTTAATTTAGTTTTTGTGTTTTTAATTTGTTCAAATTTATGTTTACATTTGTTAATCAATTCAAGATAATTTTTTAAAAACAGTTAAAATTGACACGTGTCAAGTGCATGAGAGAACAAAAATGTAAATTTAATGTTCACCCCTAAATAGATACAATGCCCATATTTAGAAAGTGATGCTTCGTTCGATTCACTTTAGTACTATGCAATTTAGAACATGTCAATTTTAACAGTCTTTTAATAGTTTGTCTTAATTTAGCTAACAAATATAAATACAAGGATTGATTTACTCAAATTGAAAACACAGGAACTAAATTAATTGATAGAGTAAAACATAGGAATCATTTTGACATTTAAGCTTTTTTTTTTTAATCATTTAATTGAATAACAAATCAACAACCATAATTAATAAGGTGAATTATATTCCAATTCTCTACCTTCAACGGATTCACTGACTTTTCTGCTTCGGTTTCATCCCTTGCAACTGCAATTTCTTAGGGTTTAGATCCACAGTCCACAATTTCGTGTTTTTAGGTTTTTGTTTTATAATATGTATCTATACGTGAGGGAAGAACTTTCATGTAGCAAAAATGTCGTTGTAACAATATGATAAATTAATCACGTGTTGTTAAGACATGTAAACACATGATAATGTTCAACTTCTTGACATAATGTTACTATGACGTCCTTGTTGAAGGTAAATTTCTCTTGTACTTTAGAGATGTGAGTATTACTTTAAGCGGTTATTTCTTCTTATGGTGTAAGTTGTATATTGGTTTCGGGTGAATATCAAAATGAGTTATGCATGCATGAGACGCAAATGACTCATACCCTGACGCGAACTTCCATCATGCATTGTAAATTAACAGCAATTAGAACTTAGATACTATCTTCTCGTTTGGAAGTGTTTTGAAAATAGCTGAAAATGTTTTTGGTGAAAATATTTAGAACCAATTCTTAGTAAAAATGCAAGTGAATCCGGAAAAAACACTTGAAGTGCTTCCTATAAGAAACACTTTTAGAGAAAATAACTGATGCTTCTTACAGGAAGCACTTCAAGTGCTTTCGGACCCAAAAACATTTTTTCTAAAAGCGCTTTTAGTCATTTTAAAAATACTTCTAAACGAGCTCTATGTTAAAGAACTATTAAAATCTACATTCTGCTATTAAAGTATTATGGACCTATCTAGTTAACAAAACCAACAAAGAAAATGGGAAGACCTCGTGTTATATTTTGTCTCACTTTATCTTAAAAATATTGCTAATCAAGATCAACATTGGCAATTGGTAAACAAATTTCACCAACTTGAGAAACTTTTACAACAACATTTCACAATCATACATAAATGAAATGGATGATGCCTAAACTTGCAAGAATATAAAAAAAAGGGTCAAATGAATGGTACCCACCAACAAATTAGGAATATAGTTCTCTCTTCTCAATTTCCTCTCCTTCCAGCCACTACTGCTCTCACACTTTCTTCTTTATTTTTCTATGTTTATAAAAAAATTTAATACAAGATGTTGACGTATCTTAATTGTAATTGTTTAAATAAATAGAAGAGAAGAGAAAAGGAGGAAGACAATCCTGTTCAACAAATTAAGGATCGTGCATTGCAAGGTACATCATGGAAAGAAAGATAAAAAAAAAGGTATGCCTTATTGAAGTATTCTTGTTCTTTCATGCGAACATGATCCAACTTCCACATCATGAGGGGTTCAATTATGTTTAAAAGCCACATGATCGGTGCTAGATCTTTCTCAAAATTCTCTCCTTTTTCCTATTAGAGGAAAGGTTTAATAACACCAATGTCTGATCATCTTACGTACCT